CTAGTATTGGTACTAGTACTAGTACTAGTGCTAGTGCTAGTACTAGCACGAGCACTAGCACTAGTACTGGTACTAGTACTGCTACTGCTACTGCTGCTACTACTACTACCACTAACACTACCACTACCACTACTACTACTACTACTACTACAACTACTACTACTACTACTACTACTACTACATCATCTCCAACATGACTATCACTGAGAGAAAGACAATAGCAAAGCGGCAAGAGCAGTCCTGCGAAGAATGAGTCCAATTGTCCAGACTCCCGTCAAGGAGTTATGATGGCAGCTTCAGACGGGTTGGAGCGATGCGAAGCAGATTCGTCAATACATGGTGGAAAGACTTGCGACGTTTCTCGGGCTTCTAGTATTCTAGTTTTCGATGCTGGGCGCGCGCTCAACTGCCGCTTTCAACCCAAGATTTGCAATCTCCGGGCCGAAGCATTACAATATTGAACAGATTGCTTCGGGTTAACTGATGATCGCAGATGTAGGATGATTACTATCAAAGTAAAAAGCACAGGAGTCGGAAAGCCGCCGGAGCTCACTGAGGCCAGCACGATGCAAGAAATGGCCCACACGCCATTGCCCGGCCGCCGCACAACATCCTCGCATCCCTCTTGAAACGTTCACGGAAATGAACGATCCGAACCAAATCGTAAAGGACGGGAAGGCCACTACCAGCACCAACAACAACCCTACTCGCACCCTGCGCACAACCCTGCCCTGACACTTCATGCTGAAATGATTGCTGGCCGGGTCATGGTACCATCAGTCATCACGAGACCATGGTGACTTACAAACAACCATAAAGCGCAATACGTAACACCGATGTCAGCAGAATCACAACAAAACATAGCAGCAGAGGAACTAACCGTGCTCAACAGAACCAAGCCCCGATCCTCGAAGACCCATCCTGGACAAGACCCGGAAAAAGTAGAAAAGCTCAACGGTGAATTCCTACAGGCAGCCCCGGGTCCGCAGGTCCTTCCATGCCTCCAGGTGCCCTAGGCGCAACTTCTCGTAGAGCTGCATTTCCGACGGCGTGCAGGCACGCTTCCAGTAAGGGCAGTCCTTATAGGCAGGATGCACCAGCATCGCGTCGGGTTGTCGGCTCAGGCAGATCCTTAACTAACTTTCCTGACAGCGAGGGACTTGCATGTAACGAAGGATTATGCCCGAGAAGACAAGTCGCAGTTTAAGATCTACTGCCGCCCAAGAGTCCCCTGGGCAGCAGTCCAATCCCAGGCTGTAGGTGATTTCTGACCTGAGGTCTTGGCATAACGGCAAAAACAAGAAGGATTAGAAAGTTCGATGCTGGTACGAGCGTTGAAGCATCTCTCTGCATCTTCGTTTGTTGGGTGGCAGCTCTCCGGGCAAAACCTAGAATCTAGAAGTGAGTGCCTCACAGGAAATGATTGCATCAAACAGAAGCTAGCGTCGAGTCGTACAGGCTGTTGAGAATGAAAAGCCTTGTCTCCATCAGATCTGCAAAGTACTCCGGGAAGAGGCAGCGCCAGGGCTCAGATTTGTACTTGTCGAGACAGCCAGCATGCAAGCTGCTGTAGCCTCCAGACACGTTGAAAAGCCCGATCATCTGGTTTGGCCAGCAACGGACTCCTGCGTCGCCCATATACCATCATGAGACTAGCGAGCCATCAGATGCTAACAGGGCCCGCAAACTACAAGTAGGTGATGCGTGGGCTACAATGTGCATAAAGAACATGTATGTATATTGGTGCTTAGATTACTTATGTCCGTGCGTTCGGGTGTATTTGTGTAAGTAGGTAGGTAGGTAGGTAGGTAGGTAGGTAGGTAGGTAGGTAGGTAGGTAGGTACAGTTGGCATGTATGATATGTATGTGCAATTTTCTATGTGAGTACATACGTACGTACCTACATACATGCATGCATATACACAGACATATACAAATACACCTTCACATGCACATCTACACATATACGTACATACATATATGCATACATACATACATGTGTACATATATATATGTATACATGTAATATATGTAGGTCTACATATAATAACTATATATGCATACACATACATATATATATATACATATACTTATACACAGACATATACTTAAATGTATACATATACATTTACATATACACAAATGCGTGCTCATGTCTATGCACATGCAGATGCAGATACGTCTGCCTTTACAAGCATGCATGCATGCATGCATACATACATGGCGACAGACACAGACCAAAGATACATCGATACACAGATAATACTCATACATACATACATACATACATACATACATACATTCATTCATTCATTCATGGAGTCATACCTACATATCACCTACGTAACCATTTACTTGCTTACCATCCTACTTACTTCCCTGGTAAATTATGCTTTTGCATAATTATTCGGTATGCAATGCTCCACCTCGTGACTCGTGATGGCACAGGATGCTTTGTACCAACTCTCGTGTCAGCGACTTGCAGACCAACATGCCACTGCCCTTCACTAGCCAAGTACGAAGCACGAACCATCCCGAGTGCTGCGAATTTCAGGGCCGACAACTGAATGTCAACATTCTGCAACTTGGGTTCGAAGTGAACCCCAATCAACGGCACAAAACATGCCGTGCACAACCTGGCCAGCAACAACGCTACAGTACATCCCAGATCTCCCTGTTCAAAGCAACCAGAACGTAGCCTCTAACTCCGAACCGAAAAGCCTGTAAGCCGAATTGATGATGAAGAAAAGCCTCACTCCTTCGTGGTCTGGCACATCGAGGAAAAATCCTGCATCAGGCAGTGCCAGAACCTCCATCTGCCTGCATGTCTCGTCCGCGTTATCGTCCGGACCTCCGGGCTTTCGAATCAAGGGCTCCGTGAGCTTCGGGTTCAGAGTTCAAGGATTTAAGAGGTTTCGGAGTACTTGAGGATGCTTTTCGGACGGAAGTCTCCCCGCCTGCAGCACCCAGCATGCTAAGCATTCGCTTCTGAAGTGTTTCGCTTCGTGAGCAGGCACCTCCCTTGAGGCGCTTAGCGATATAATCCGCGTGGAAGTAGACCGCGCTGGCACCCGCGCTGCCCCCACTGAGAACGACGCGAGAGGCATCGAGGATACCTTCCTTGGACTCCAGTTCGGTTAACACGGCCTTGAGAATCGGCTCGCCCTTGAAATGCAGACCGTCAACGACGGAGTTGCCGGTGAAGCTGGCCCCATCGCAGTAGGGGACAAAGACCACGGTCCAGTTGCTAAAGACAGGGTTCTCCTTCACGTCTTCACTAAGAATTCCGGTAAGATATTCCTGCGGCTTAATTGTGGGCCAGCGCTTGCCTCAGCTGCAGCTCCCTCGACAGGATTGTTCAAGGCTTGGGAGGGTACGCTCCAAACCCTGTCAGGGTTCTGGGTGAGGGGGTTCTTCGGACTGCTCGGATGTACTTTTAAGATCGCCCCACTGAGCGACTGAATGTAGGAGTGTTCAGCTCAGCATTCCGCAGGTAGTGCCGTGCGGTGAGATGTCAAGTCTAACAACGACTGTTCAAAGAGCTCCGAGTGAAGACGTGTGCAGTCTTGCTATGTCTTGTTGAACAATGCAGCGATCGACACCTGCTAAGCCTGTGCACTCCGTACACCCTGAACTCTTGCGCCCAAGACCTCGCAAGTCCAAGCTTCTGGAGCCCAGATTTCCACTGGAACGCTTCCAGCAATCCTTCAACGTTCCATCCGGAGTGGGCTCCTTGCAATTCCTTGATTGGTGGACGTCTTTGAATTTCGGGCTTTTTTAATATATCAAGCAACCACAAAGTATCATTTTAACCGAAAACATAGCGGGTAGGAGTTAGGACAGGAGTTTGGGGCATAGGAGCAAGCCTGAGCTTCCTAAACCTTTCCGTTTCCCTCTTGGAGCCAAGTGGAAACTCTGCTCTGCATCTTCGTCCAAAACATTCGAGCTTCTGGTCGTAACACCAGCCACCCCCTTCCAGAAAAACCAGGAACTTGACCTTAGCTGGCAGTTTGAGGTCAATCTCCGAGCATGTTCCAACACCGGGGTACAGTAGAAATACCTGTAACTTGCAGACAAACTTCCTTCTCGTTGCCTGGGCGGATGTAGTACCCGGCTATGCTTCCATCTAGGCACCGAGCCTCTGGGTGCTTCTGTTCAGAAAAAAGGTTCAGGGTCATCTGCGCCTTGCCTTTGCACTTGCAGCCTGCACAAGCGCATCCCCAGTCGTGCGCAAGAGATTCGCAGGTATACTTTCCTGCATCCCACTCGATCCACTCGTCACACGTGTAGCCTTGGCAAGAGCGGGCATACCACAGCTGGCAGGGGACGTCGCAGATCATGCCCTCATGCCCTGCATGTGTCGCTGAAAGCAACGGAATCGTGTCGCGGATGTCTGACACATCTTTGCTGAAATCGATGCATGCAACGTCCACACTTCTCGCATTTAGCCGGCTTTTCCCCACACTCGACTGCATAGTCGGAGCAGCAGTTGCCATGAGCCTGACAGGTCTGACAAAACGTTGAACTCGCAAGTGCATTCGACAACTCAGCTGCACGGTTACAGCACATTGTGCACTTCAGAACACCTTTCTTGCAAGATCCACAGCGACATGCAACTCGAAGGATCGCAAAAGCATGAGGCAGATGCACGACAAAGTACTGTGCCTGACAGAAATCGTTGCACCAGCAGTCCTGGCACGTGGTGGGTCGAGTGCGATGGAAACCGCATGTGCTATCTTAGTAAGGGAGACCAAGCTCCGAGCCTCCACAACACTGCTCTGCTAGCGGGAGCCAGACATCGCATAAACGCAGCACCGATCAGAATACGTAGAGAGTAACATTATCATGACGGCTCTGCATAGGAGTTCCTGTAGAAGCGGAGTCGATACTATGCCAAACGCTATGCTAACCCATCATGCAAGTATCAGATTTAATGAACAGCCACGTGTTGCGTGCAAAAGCGCAATCTCACATGTGGTTGTGCTCATGGTGCATCACAGTGCTGGACGAACCTCGTTCCAGGATCCACAGTGCCCAGCACAGGAACCGCGGTACGCAGCTCCCGTCCACACCTTTGTGGCAGACAGTGCATCGTTAATTCGTGCCAATGCCCGAATGCACCGGTCTGAACTGCTGCGCACTTGCGAAGATGGATTCGGCTACAGGAACTGAACAACTTAAACTTTTCAGTTGCTGAAGCCATCCAAAGCCTGGACAGATCAATCACAACAGCCGCCAGCGGCTACAATTTCCTGTGGAATATTAAGGGATACTGCCATAACAAAGCACATCATGTAAGAGCGGAAGTGCGCAAAACATGACCAAACGAGGTGACATGTAAAAATGCAGACAAGCAACATTTCGTCTCGAGTGTTCTCGAAGCTTCTGTAACGATCTGCATGTTTGTATGTCCAAATTTGTAAAGAATGTCTGCCCTTCGTATGTGGGTGGGTCCCACAGCCTGTACACAGGCACATATATGATCATATGTGCACGTATGATCATGGGTGCATACATGTCGCGTATACAAGCCACATGTTGTAAACAATGTAAAAGGTACGTATTCGAAACCAAGTGACAAACAAAGCCGGTAATGCGCACCTAAGTCAGCTGTCGAAGCATTGGAGGTGCAAGGTGTTGTTAACTGTTAGATCTTAGATCCCCAGAAGGTTTTAGCTTGGGCGGTTCTTGTGGGGCCTGACAAAAATGTTGACTGCGGTGACCATCGAAGCATCACTGATGCTTGATACGATTCTGACAGTGGGCTTACCGTGTACAACTGGCCGCTTCGCATGTTCCAGGATCAGGTATGATCAGGTATTCCACAGCCTTCCCTATAGAACCATCTGGCTCACACTGAAGCATGCATTCTGGACCCTACAGACCGGAAGCCTTGCTTTCACATCGAATCACAACCTTCAGGCTGAAGTAAAGAAACCGGGGCATGATTTCATTCCTCTATATGTTCTGGAACCATGTCGCAATATGATCAATACCACAACATTGAGTAGACCTGACGTTTAGTTCGACTAGGACTGCTCATCTTGTGCTACACTGAATCGTTTTAAAAATCCGCTCGGCTCCCATCTATCATGGTCTCATCCTGTCAATACTTTGGTAACTGGGGATTAAAATGATGAGCCGGGGTCTGCGGTTGAGGGGGGTTTAGCATATGCATATACTATGCGGCATCCTATCAGTCCTATCAGGAAGCACGCAAGGAAATATTCGGCTAACGTACTACTCTCCCTCTTCTCTATCTACTCGTTGAAAACTCACCGGCTCGATTCTGTGGAGCACCATCTACGAGCAGAAGCTGAAGCTTACAACACCAAGTAGGTCCGTAAGTCCTTCAAACCTTGTGCCCAAGACCAGGACGGTTGAGGTTCTAGGTAGCCCTGATTAACCTCCAACTCAAGCCTACCTGGCCACCTCAGTGCAGATCGGCCCCGCAGGCAGCCCAGAGCTGCAGCGGGCATGGCTTCAGTATTCTTTGCAACACGAATGCTGAGTGGCCTAAAACTGCACATGGAGACAAACTGCAGAAAATCGCATGTCCTATTCGGAGCCTATTCGCACTGACTGCATCATACCTGCAGTAGCACCTTCTTCTACATCTGGAGTACAGCACAAGCTGCAAGATTGTATGTACAAGGTTGCAATGAAGTTTGCTGTTCGATATGCTGCAGGGGACCTGGCAGGCCTTAGTTAAGACCGAAGCAGGAGAGCCAAAGCCCAAAAGCCTAACTCATAAAAAAGGATATGGGCAGACTCACTCTGGCTGTCCAGTGTTGAGCTCTTATCCACTCAACCCTAAATGCGAAAGCACTGCTTTAGGTTGCAAGTGGACATCGGTTGTCAAAGGCTTGAGCAGGAGCGGAGCACGCAAAATTCTTCAGCAACTTGGTGCTTCGTTTTGGGGCCGATTATGGGTTGCGGAAAAAGGCTCGTACAACATCAAGGCACTTGCAGTGAAGGGCTTAGGCTCAGGGGCTTTCGGGAGGGAGGGGTCTGGCATCTGGGTAAAACTTGACGTACCTGCCAGAGTAGCGAAAATCAAGTATGGGACTGGATGTTGCTAGACCTGGCCAAGATTTGCCGTTGCGATTACAGAAGAGAAGAACACAGGTTTCTGCAGGGTCGCAGCGTGGCAAACAAGGAACCAAGCATGCCCATTAAAATAAACATGACGGACATAGCTGAAGTTTGCGGATTCGATTGCACGGCTTCATCTCATTGCAGTTAAGTTGAATGTTGGGGTCGAAACTCTACTCTCAACGGATCCGAAGCTTGCCAGACACGCCGCGACGGGGGACCTCTCCAGGCTTACTGCGAACCACGAGCTTCCGCCCATCCAGATGGCTCACAACGATCCTGGCTTCTCGGTCGTATTTCTCAAAAGCTTAAGACTTAAGATGGTGAATATATGCACATATATATGTATATATACATATATATATATGTGTGTGTATAGAGAAAGAGAGAGAGAGAGAGAGAGAGAGAGACAGAGGTACATGCATACATGCATACATGCATGAAGACAAGCAAACACTCAACTAAAAACTAACACAAACAGACAGAATGCAGATACATACAGGCAGACATACGTACAGACATAGGGACATGCAGACACACAGGCAGACAAACATACATACATACATACATACATACATACTGCAACCATAGTGCACAATCCATCCTTTGCGTTTCCTGTGACAAAAAATTGTGGATCACGGGTATGCCCAAGCAACCGGCACACTGGCCTGTAGCAATACAGGTAAAGGGACAGGGTATAGAGAAGGCTTTTACATCCAATACCATCGTCGTAGTTTGGAGAAGAAGACTAGTAACTAGCACACAACATCCTGAGCCCACTGATACTCTGGCTGGGCCAACCTGAAGCCAGTAAGGGCTTGTGCCAGGGATAGTTCCACTTGCATGTAGAGGTCTGCCTGCCAGCGTGATGATGAAGAGGAGCAGACCCAAAGGAATGAAGAGGAGAACCATGGAGATTAGCCGTGTTGTACCAGTGCTGCTGCTCTCGCAAACAAAGCCTTGTGCAGGTACGTGACGCCTACCACTACCACCCCGACGACTACTGCACTAAGACTACGTAACATTACCGGAGCTCCGATGGCTGTTTTAGCATCGCTGCGGCTGCTGTAATAATTTGTCGGTGTTCAGCATATTCCGCACTTAGCTGTGTGTCCATATTTGTTGCTCTGGATGTTCGGCTGTTGCTTCGGCTTCTACTATCATGCAAAAAAGGCGCAGGCAAGTCGGCAGTACATCCCACGTAGTCGCAACCTCACACTTGCAACCCCGAGAGCAGAAGCCGAAATATCGAGGAATCCGCTTCTGCCACCATCGATTCTCTCTTGAAGTGTCCAGATTGCCAAACTGTGCAGAAGCCGTTGGCCTGAGACCCACAAACAGTGCAAGCTTGCTTCGGACTAATTCCAGAGCCAGGTAATCGACATTTAACCCCGGCTGGGTTGCACCTCTTTCCTCAAGAACCGACCATGCTCCTCCCAAGCGTCTGGTTGAAAGATCCAGTGTTCAAGACATACAGCCCTACACCTTCAAGGGGAATCTCGAAGCCCAACCCTTAGCCGCTCCTTAGCTTGAACCCGTAAAGCCTTCAGCCGGAAACCCCAACCTGCAAGCCTCAAACACGTAACCCGAACCGCTGGCCTCGTGAGTTTCAGTGTTCGGGCACAACGTGGGCTCTTGGATTCAGCAAGATTTTGGAGTTGATAGGGTACGTACCAGATTCTGCCATGGGAGCACACCCTCAACCTTTCGCAGCTCGTGGCAGGCACAATGATGCGGATGTCTCGCGGCTTGCACTGACTTGTACCCTGTGTACCGGTGTGTCTGCCCAACTCCGCAGCTGGTGAAGCTCGCGGCTTGCACCCTTCCTGCCTATGTTTTTGTACGTCTCCTGCTTGTGTCGGCTGCTACAGGAGATGGCTGTCACCCTTCTTGTGTGTGTGTGTCTCTCGGTTCACGAAGGGAATAGCACCCGTCGCCTTCAATTTGCGACGAAACGAAAACAACCTATAATCATTAATCAATGGCCAAATGAGTGCCCACAGTAATAGTAGTGGTAGCAACGACTGGCAGCAGTAAGCTTCAGCAAAAGACATAGCTGAAGGCCAGAAACAACACCAATCACAACTTGCAATCGGGCCATCGCTACAAAGACTTCATGTGGCCGCGATGTACGAACGATAATCGTCGTTTAAGCATGAGAATCACGAGAAGTCTATATCGACAGCTGCCACAGCGAAGGTCGAAACAAGAGGCTCGCAGCTGGGATGTTCCGACCATCCGGAACGTCCACTAAACTTGCACAGACTCTCCAAGCACCAATCCACAAGATACCACCCCGGCCCCCCCGGAGCTCCGCAGAAACTGAGAGGACGATGCCGGTTGAAATCGAAAACCAACCAACAATTAAGATGCCCTGCAGCGGCTTTTGAGTTCGTCCTGCAGTCGGACCACCACAACCACGTCTCCGGGCTCCGTGCCTGGAGCTTCGTCGGCCTGCGCCGATGCATACGGGGTCTGCAGCTCGGGCTTTTTGTCACAGCGCAAGGTCATTTGTCACGATACTCATGAGAGTCGTATTGCACACCTCACTGTGCACATCCAGGGATGGTTTCAATCTGAACATTTTGAAGCCGTGG